CTGTAAGTATTCTTGATGTAAGAGCTAGGGATTTCATGTGGCTCCAAGCCCAATCTCGTTGGCATGCCCGGAAGAAGTCCGAAGCTTCAACCATGAATGTAACGGAGAGCTGCTCGAGACTAAGACTCCTTTTTGCGAAGGCAGCACTGATCAAAGGTGAAGCGATCCGGATCTTGTCAGGCTCCATGAATGACATGGATTGAAGGAAGAAATCGATGTATTCTTTGTTGGTCTCTTCGAGTACCGATATTCGCTCGAGTGTTGGTGGTAAGTGGGACTCAATGACGTCCAAGTACCCTATAGTCGTTAGTAGATGAAACTGATAAGTGCAACCGAATGCGATATCTTACCCTTGTCCACAATATAGTTTGGTTCCACGTTGTCCCAGTTCTGCCATGGCTCGTAGATTAATGACTGTAATCGAGGGAGTCTATCAAATAGATCCCCCAAAATTCGAGGCCTCATACCTCTCCGACATTGTCGGCGAAGTACAAACTGTGTCACGGCCTTAACTCGAGGGAGTTCTTCCTTGAACTCAAATTGGAGAGGCCGGAAGATTCGTAGTATAGCCATTTCGTCCGGGGGGGGGGGGGGGCATCGACCTGACGCCCTTCTATCCATCCATGTCGCGAGTCGTCAAATGAATGATCTAAGTTGAGATTACGTGATTGATGACTAGCCCGGTCGAGTTCCAAATCGTCCTTGTCATCATCTCCGAAATAGAGATTCTTGAAATAATGCTCCTTATCACTTGGAGATTGGATGCTGAGCTCCAGTGTCAGCTCGGCCCCCTCTACCGCTGGCCATCGAGACAAGATCGAAAAAAAAGCTTCTCAATTGCTTTCCGAACTATCTTCTCATTGTTGCGAGCCCAGAGGTCGCCCTCAATATGACGACAACTGTGACATCTGTACGGGCTTAGCTTGATATTTAGCCAGATGTGTCTAACAAGCACAGCTTGTTGTACGCTAATCATAGCCTCCATATCATTTAAGCATGATACTTGTAACTTGAGCCAGCGGAAGCTTTCTTTCTCGAGTACGGACTGCCACTCCTTACAAACAGAAGCGTAGGCGTCCCAGCCAGAAGTCTGTCGCGTAACAGTTTCAAGTATCGTTAGCCGCAGTTCCAAAGGAAGAGAATCCCAGGTCATGTTATGGGGCTTGGAGCCTGATTTTGGAGCCGTTTGAATCGGCACTGTCATTATGGATGTCAAGAAGGTACTGCAGATTCAACGGTTAGGTAATCGAGGCATGAACTGAACGAGATCTGGAAAAGGAAATACCTCGAGAGAAAGAACTGGCGTGGATAATGAATGAGTATGTTGCTTGACTTATTTCGTCGAATGTGTGAAGGTGCCAAGCTGGGCGGTTCGAAGGATCTGGGACGGCAACTGCCATAAGTACTCATGTGCAAGAAGGTTTATAATCAACCAGCAGGGTAAATACCAAAATGTTACCATACCCACCGCCGGTTCCTGAACCAAACAGAACTTTTAAGGATTAGTGAAACCCACACGGCGGACAAGTTCCTGGAAGTGCTTCACTACGGGAAGCAAGCCTGACCGGAAGATTTCCTTTATTGCGACTGAAAAGTCGCTAGCGAAAGGAAGAACCAAACGCATCGTCACTACGATACCCTCGATCAGGAGACATCCCATATGTCTCTCACTCTTGACCGTCCGCCTCTGGAATATGGCTGGGGCAGAAAGCTGGGCGGCGTGACTTCAAGAGCCTGATCACATCTCTTTAGATTAGCTACACATCCAGCTTTCGGATACACGCACAACTCTCGAAGTGGGCGAATCCAGTGACCACGGACACTGAGCACGGAATAAAGAAGAATGTTAATAAGATTTCCTCAATAAGCACTCGCTGTATGTCCTAGACCAGGATGTTTTCATAACTGGGGCTGCCCTCGAGTGGCTCGTGGGTGACTCTGATGTGAGGGTGTCTTTGTCTGCCGGTTTCTGCTCACGCAATGCAGCTGTGAAGAGAAACGAGGCAAGCTCCGAATACAAGCAAGCTATCCTACCGTGTCTGCTTAGCTGTTTTCTGGCCTTATATCCCTTTAAGTAAATCCGTCTTGTATCTGACAGTTCGGCTTCTGCTTTCTGGGACGTGCTCCTCCGTATCACGAATCAGAAGACACGCCCTACGTCCCTTACTACTGTCCTTATCGCCGCAATTACCGCTTTTTTGGTCATTTAGGTATCTATCTGTGATTTTCCAAGAGACTACACCTCGAGGAACCTAAGAAGAATTTGATAAAAGAGGTAGTGGTGATGAGAAAGGGGAGTTGTCGAGCTTTACCGTCACATGGGTTGCTGATGAGCCAACAGGCACCGGCTGGTGCCAGCCCTCCAAGCGGCTTAAAAAGGCCCGTGAGAGGGCTCGTGCTGGACTGGCCAAGGACAAGCTTCGAGCTAAACCTGATTTGGCGGTCGCTACCTGCCCTGGACAGCGTGGGACATTGATGGAAGTAAACACCTTTCCGTACCAGCTCCATCGCGGCCCGCCAAAGACGACGTGGACTCAGAGAACCTGGAAGGGAGGCATCCCAACACCCACGCCGCCGTCGAATCCAACATAGCTTCCCAATCTTTCGACAAACCCATCGAACGATCCTCACGAACACGAAGAAAAATCACGAGCTCATTTACACATCATGCAGCGTCCACAAACCTACGGGCAGTCGCCCCCCTTGCACCACCCCGTACCCCAGCATGTCTCGACGGTTCCCCAGTTGCGCTCGCCCCCTCCTCCCGTGTCGCAATCGCAATCGCAACAAGGCTACGGTGGCAGTCCTTACCAACAGCAAGGCGGTACGAGCGGGAACGTATTCGGCGCATACGGACAGTTCATGAACGATCCCACAGCACAAGTGGCGGCGCAGTTTGGCCAGACGGCTTTCAAACATGGCCAGGAGTACATGGAGCAAAACGTACGTCAAGTCTAGGGACGGGGAGGCAGACCCCGAAGCACCTCGCCGGTCAAACGTCGAGATTCATCATGTTTTCGCTGAAGCTAACTCTCTGAAAGTTCAACCGATATGTCAACGTCAACGCCTTGAAGCACTACTTCAACGTTTCCAACTCCTACGTCATCAACAAGATAGTCCTCGTCCTCTTCCCTTGGAGGCACAAGCCGTGGTCGCGCAAGCAGGCCGTCGGGCCTAGCGGACAGGACGGATGGTACCTCCCTCCGCGAGACGACATCAACAGCCCCGATATGTACATTCCCGTCATGGCTGTCGTGACCTACATCCTTCTCTCTACGCTCCTTGCTGGTCTCCGCGGCCAATTCCAGCCCGAACTTCTCGGATACACGGCGTCGACGGCCCTAGTAATAGTCATGGCGGAGATCCTCGGTCTCAAGCTGGGCTGCTATTTGTTGGGCATCTCGAACGATTCGCAGCTTTACGACCTGATCGCGTACTCTGGCTACAAATTTGTCGGCATCATCGTCACTGTCACTGTGGCCGAGATTCTGAATGGTGGCAAGGGTACCGGCGGGTGGATTGGCTGGGGTGTGTTCCTCTACACTTTCCTGGCCAACTCGCTGTTCTTGGTATGTTCTCCCGCAAATCACCACTTGATACAAATGACTAATATTTCCACTAGATGCGTTCGCTCAAGTACGTTTTGCTCCCTGAAAACGCAGCCAACGGTGCTGGTCCTATGCAAACTGGCGATTCCCGAGCCAAGCGAAACCAGAGGACCCAGTTCCTCTTCTTCTACTCCTACATTGTCCAGCTACTTTTCATGTGGATCCTGTCGAGGCCTTGAACCACCATCATCACGCTATAAAACTTACGCCAAAGGTCTCATTCTATAGAAAGGTCGATACGAGAAAGGAGTCCGGGAGTAGCTGGGTATGCGCTTGCTAGGTGGTCAGATACAAGGAATGGATGGCCGGTTGAAGTCAGCTTTTGGTGATGTGCGATTTATCGGATAATCAAGTTGAATTGCACGATACAACGACACGTCACTTTAGCCGCTTGCGTTGCTTGCTGTGTAGAGTCCCTAACATATTGGGGGGCCAGGTATACAGTACCCGAAGATGAAGAAGCTCTATCCCTGTAATATAGGACCAGTCGGAGCTGTCACAAGGGGCAATCCACGACGATGAGTTGAGACGATGAAGGGAACGCGAATCAAAACAAATATTAGAAACCTGTATTGTAGTATCTACCTTACCAGTGCATTGAAGATTGCAGTAGAACATCATGCAAGCGCTCTGCTGGCTGCGTATCATACACCCAATAAGGTTGCGCTGGTAGGCGCATCAAGGTTCTCTGTAGCGAATCAATCTTGCTGACGCTTCTGAAGATGGCAGCCTTCCCAGGCAATTCCCTCAGTCTTTTCGACCTCTTATGAAGCACGATAGCTATGCTCATGCCCAATAAGACTCGCTCTTGTGAACCTCGATGCTTGTTGCCTATTGTGCCTGGAACCATGTAAGTGAGCTGCCACGTTGTCTAGCCTATTGGAGCTCTAGCTTGCTTTGAAGGGACAGCTGTCAGCAGCCCCACAAATCAGACATGTCATCAGTGATTCGCCGGTCCGAACTTGGACACCGGCCACCTCCACAAGCCGGGGTCGCTCCTCCCTCCACAGTTCACGACGAAACCCCGCCAAATCTTCCACCATCCGGCCCTGCATCCCGTCAAACCTCAAACCTCTGCCGATTACAAATGCTTCAGCTCGGGAGGGTCAATGAACAGATTGCAATTTACATTCGACTCACTTTCTTCGCGCATTGCAGCATATAAATACTGACGTCTCAAGGCACCTATTTCGCATCAAGGACGTCATCCACTCGTATCTCTAGGTATCTTCCTCTGCCTCAGCTTAAAGCCGCTTCGCAAGAATCCACCTGCCGTGGTTTACCCGACACGACAGTCTGCATCGCTCATTTCAACTCACTCATAACCGTTATTTCAGATCTTCAGCAAATCAAAGTCAAGCTTGCATAGGTACTTGCTTACAAGTCACCATCATGGCGCTTCCTCCCATCATCACTGCAACTTTGCAGTCCGCTGCCCTCAGCGGCACTTCGAACATACTGGCCCAAGTCCTCACGGCCTACCAGACCGATGTATGAATTTCCGAGACCCATGGACTCTACGCAAGGATGTGTTTATCCTTCACATACCACTGCGCTGTTTTGGTCATAACCCAAGATCCTCTTGCTAACACTACGGCCAGCAACAACTCGTCATCGACTGGGTCCCCGTCTTCCAGTTCATCATCTTCACCCTCCTCAGCACGCCGCCAAACTTCCTATGGTGGGTCTCCCAGCGAGCACTCGTCTTTCACCATCGCGGATCCCTCTTCTACCTGCATGCAAGATACGCGTCGTACCCGAGACCGTCGTCACTGACACATACCAGGCAAGGTTTCCTCGAAGAGAGCTTCCCGGCCTACCACGTCTCGCCCACCAAGAAGGCCATCGCCTCGGCCGCGGCCAACGACGAGAAAGCGCTCGACCGCGAGGCGCGCGAGGATAAGCTCGTGGAGCCCAAGCTCAACATCCGCAACACGCTCATCAAGCTGGTCCTCGACCAGACCGTCGGCGCCGCGCTCAACACGCTCGCGTTCAGCATGTTTATGCATAGTATCCAGACGGCCATGGTGCGCCCGGAGCACCTTGCGGCCGCGCAGCACTCGGGAACGTTCTTGTTCTCGCGCGGTGCCGTCGATTATAGCAATGTTGACTGGCGGTCCGTCGTGCACAAGAGCCAGCTTGAGTTTGTGCCCATCTTCATTGCGGGCTTGAAGCTGTGGCCCATGGTCAGCCTGGTGAACTTTGCCTTTATCAAGAGCATTGAGGGTAGAAACTTGGTTGGTTCTCTTGCGGGTGTCGTTTGGGGTATTTACATGAGTCTGGTTGCTGCGCGATAAAGGGTTGCAATGGAGATGTAAGCCCGCACCATGGTGGGTAGATATCTCCATACTTTAGCGATGCTATGAAACTGATCATTAGACGGGGTCAAGATGGCAACTATTGGGTTGACAGTACGTTTTCACATTTTGGAGGAAGCCAGCGACTGGGACACAGGAAAGGGTAACGAGGAAGGAGGAAACAAGGCGCATGGAACCAGAGTTGACATTTCATAGACGAAAAGGCTCTCCATGGTATTCGAAGCTTAGACACTTGGAGTGATAGCACGAACTAGTTCACATGACACCCTTGGTCATAGGTATTGTTGACAGTTATGCTGACAAGGGTATTGTTCAAACTTCGACCACCACTCAAAGTGATTCTCCTCGAACCAAGTTGTGAAGACAATGGGATTCCAAATACGTGGCCCCGCGTGCCTTGTTCACACCTCGTGGAATTCTGGCCAGCTAGGCGGTCTCAGCTTCGAAAGATGGGAAGCTTGCAAGAGATGGGCTTTGGACTCCATCGCTGTGTGCTCCCATTCATTCTCTCCTTGCCAACTTAGCAACCTATTTGCCCACCTCCTAGCACCTGTTATGTATCCTATGCTAGACGGAAGAAGTTGGATGGCACTTATCAATTACACAAATGAACTACTTCACACCCGCCATCTTCGCAACGAGCTTATAGAGCTTCGCCAACAAGAGAAATCTCAAAGTGACCTGCATGGCAATCTTACAGTATTTGAACAATCAGGCCCAAAAAAGGGCCGTTAATCTCACCCACATTCTTTCGGGATTGGTTTTTTGTGGCTGGCTGAAGGGCCAAAGCGGCTTGCTATTTGGCTATTAACGGTGAGAAGCGCCGCATGGCGTAATGACGTTGGAGGTCTTATAAAGTAAGACACTCGGCTACTATCCGTGCGACATCGTGTTCGCGTAGTGTGTTGCTCTAGACGCTCGCATTGGATCACAGGTGGAAGACGACTACATGGACGAGAACGGTGTCTCTCCACCGGTGGCCTTTTCGGTGAAGTGTTCCTGGCTTCGACAAAGCTCAAAACTACTTACTTTTGTAAACTCGGCTGAGGGGTGTGGAGCAACGTCAATCTAGGTGTATTGCCGATCAGATCCTATGCAACTTCTGTATCTTGTGATTCCGTATCCGTACTCTGTCCCCATCTCTCGGAATCTGCACGACCCAACCGACTGGTCTACCTTACTGTGTTTGGTGTGGTTGTCTGGTGATTTTGCTCCGGAGCCTTCTCCTTCGTCGACCATTTTCGGGATTCCCATTGGCTCACTCGTAACGACGTCGGCAAGTGGCTCCTGATTGGCCAAACGGCACAGAAACCGTTCCTTCCACTCCGGGAACGAGGATGATGCCGTTTGGAAGCGATGTGACGTCAGGGTTAACGCAGAGGCCACAACAACAACAACCCCAATCCGCGCTTACATCATGTGCATATCGGGAGCGCGGGAAGGGACGATCTGACATCCAGCAGCGCGCAGCCGCCAGGGACAAAACTCTCTTTTTGCCCTCAGCCTTCAGGAACAGGACAGAAGTCTATTGCAGGAGCATGGCCAGGAAAAAAAGGGGGAGGGAGGGGAGGTAAACAAACAGAAATGGGATGGTGTCTCGGCAACTAGCGACGTTGGCTTTTTGATGGTTGCAATTGAGGTGGGAAATGTGGCCGGGATGGGGGAAGCAACGTGGCTGCTGCGTTGGTGGTATTGGGGGTTGGGGACTTTTGGTGTTATTGGCGACTCCACGTGTGAAAGTCGGGATGACGTGGGGCCATAACGTCACTAGCAAATGAGCGGGCTGAACTACCTATCTTTTTGGTCACTATTACCGCTCAGCGCGCCTTCTCAATAGAACACTGGACCTTGAGGTGAAGAATGGAGGTGTCAATCCTCCACCGGAAGTTTAGTCTCCAGAAGGTCTCAAGAACAAGATGCAGAGATGAATGGAGCAAGTGGAATGGTTGGAAGGCGCCATATCCGTAAAGAAGACGGAGAAGAAGACGGAGAAGAAGACGATTCGATTTAGCACGGGTTGACAGGTCCTGTAGCGTCGAATCCGGGTCTCCATCGAAGCCTTTAGTGCAGCATTGCAAAGACGGTCCAGGGAGGCACGATGCAACCCTGTCCGCCCATGATTGGTTGTTGCGCCGTGAATTCCATCGCGAGCCGGGTGGAGTCGTGGACCTCTCTTTTCTCGGGGAAGGAAGTCGAGCTTTGGAGAGTGTTGGGCATTCCCACTTTTTGCCTGCCCCCCCGTTGCTGGTTGGGGATCTTTCTCTCTCTCTCTCTCTCTCTCTCTCTCTCTCTCTCTCTCTCACTCTCCCATTTTCTATTGCATTATGCTGCAGCAGTTTCCCTGGCAGATGCAGAGATACATATGTGGACGACATGGTCTATCTGGCCCAATTCAGAACCTTTGCGATCGGATACCACGCGCGAGGTGACATTCTGGGAGTTGATCTCTTCTAAAATTGGTCTTCGGGGGCCGGATGATGGATCCCCAATCTCACTCAATATCACTAAACATCGGCATCTTGTTCCATCCATGCATCTTAGGTTCAGTTTTGGAATCTTGGAATCTTGGAATCTTGGAATCTTTCTTGACCGCCTTCACCGGACTCTCTCTCTCTCTTGCTCTCCCCTCCCCCCACCCCCATCAACATCATGCCGTGCCGTAGCGTAGGAGGTGAGGTGCGAGAAGTTGTCCAATACCATGAGGGCGAGGGCTGAGACGCACGACTCAAAAGGGCATGGGACGGAAGCACTAAGAAATAAGCCATACTGAATCATTCTCTCGTTGCCGCGGCCTATAACCTATTAGTGCACCTTCCCACTTCTGCCGTCCGGTCGTCTTGTCGACTTCCCCGCCCGTCGCCTAGGACTCTATCCATAGACTCTAGACTACGGATACACAGTTGACTCCCGTCGAGAGAATCGCGTGCCGGGGTAACGATACCGTGGCAGGAAGGAGCCTTCGTCATCGGATTCCGTTCCGCGTCCCCCCCGTCCCTTGTCTTTCCGCCTTTCCACCGCCCAGTCCTGGGTTGCCGCTTTTTTAAACCTTACCTCCTTGCCAGCGTGACCTTGACTGCCCGGATAGGCACTTTTCGTTTCCTCTTGCTGCCTCTCACAAGCCCACCTACATGCACCATCTGGCATCACCAGCCTGCCCAAGCTCGCGACAAGAAAAAAAGTCACTACTGTGTCCAGCTTCAGGTCAGCCCGAGGCCACTCCGCAAGGACAAAGGAGAGACTGACACGGCGTTGGCACCAAGAGTCCGAGTCTACTCTTTTTTTCCTCTCTATGAGACCGCCATCTGCATAGCAAGCCACATTGCGACGTCCGTCGTTCAGCCCCCCGACACTTAACCCCGGTCACCCATTGGAAAGGGTCGTCACATCATCCACCAGTGATCGTCCTCCTCTCTCACCTTGTGTTCTGACCTCCCAGCGTGCTCGTCTTGCCATCCCATCTTGTCTCTTCTTCACCTTGGGACACCTTCTTCCCGAGGCAAATTCTACGGCGCATCTTGGCCTGCACGTCGAATCAAGGCTTCTTGCCTACGCTTGCGGATCCCCATTTTGATCCAATTCGCTGCCACGACCCAAAAGTCGGCCAAGGTCCGATGCGAGATACCCACCGCTGCAGATTTACACAACCACCTGGACAACGCATTCACGGCAAACATCCCGCGTCCTCCATCTAACAAGCTTGATTGGGGTCCTGCCGAATTCCATCAGGATTCAGGCCGACTCTGCCAGCACCAAACGAGTCTCCAACTTGGTGGCCTGCTCACCACGGACTGAGTTGCCGCCGCGTGCGCTCATCTCCACCCGGCAAGCAGAATCGCAACTTCCAAGCTCAACCACCCTCGTCTGCCTCATCCACTTTGGGCCACTATTGCACACAATACAACCCCGGCTCGCTTCTGCCGCTTTTTCTCTGCCTTCCCACTTGCGCCTGCACCTTTCTCGCATCTCCTTCACCTGCATCAAAACCCGCCCATCAGCCTCACCTCACCTCGCCCAGGGCCACAACGCGTGCGCGCGCATCCTGCCGACCCAGGCTTGATCTTCACCGGCGGGACCGACGACAACTTTCACCAGCCAGCCGCAAATCTAAGAGGAGGGACAGCGCCAAAAGAGTTGTGCATCTGGTCTGGCTGCAAGATCTCCTCTCTCTCTCTCTCTCTCTCTCTCTCTCTCTCTCTCTCTCTCCAGGCCAAGATTGGTTGAGAATGAGAGAGAAAACAGATACTGACAACGAGACCTGCCGATCCCTTGGCTGAGCGGACGACTCATACCCTGTCCGCAGCCATGCATCCTCCCCCGCTCCTCGGTGTGGGCGTTGTTGATCTGCTCGAGTCCGATCCCCGACCGAGCTTCGTCGTTGCGCTACCAACTTCTTTCAAGGACCCCGCGCTTGCCGAGGTTGTCTACAGCAATCCGGCTTTGGTGAGCAAGCCTGCTCTTTTCGAGGTTCTGGGGTCACTTTCGAGCCGCGACCATACAAGATTCTGGGACTGGATCACCGCCCAAGACGCCAACCCGCCGCAATCTTTCTTGTATAACAGCCATTTTTGGACTCGAAACGCCCTGCTTTCCAGATGGGTCGTTGTGAGCTCCAACGATTTCCCAGTTTCCTCAGAGCCTCCGAGAAAGATTCGCCTGGATGGTTCGAGAGGCAGAGAGTCTAGCAGCGGTATCTTGCACCCGCACACTTCCACCGTGCCCTCAGTACCTTCGGCAGAGTCGTCCGCAGAAGACTTGTCCTATCCCCGGATCGTTCGAGCAACCACCGAGCCGCCTATAGTGTTACCGGATTTTATGCCAGACCAAGAGCCTTTTCTCGAAATGGTCGACAGTGTTGACTGGAGCGCAACTCCCCTGGGTGCCATGGACCGGTGGCCGTCACTGCTTCACCAGTCTTACAGCCAGATATTGTGCAACTCTCAGCCCACAGCAATCTACTGGGGCAAGAAGCTCACAACAGT